AATAATTAAATTGGTGTATTTAATTTATATTTATGTGGTTATACTGGTTATACATAAGTACATAACCATTCGATTATACTGTCTACAGTCTGCGCTCTACCGTTTTTTCCACTCTACAGCAACAGGTATTTAAGTATTATATTCTCGTAAGAAGTGGATGATATTGACGGTATAGAACACATACGACAAGATAACCATGTCAGCATTGGCGCAACTAGGAAGTGCAAAAAGGTCTTTAGCACCCATTGTTTATGACTAAAATTATAAGATTTTTATTTAAAAAAAATTTAAAAATTTTGGTCATGCGACCTAAGTCGTAGTATTAATTCGGGAACGATTCTAGTTTAGCAATCTATCGATTTTTAAAAAATTTTCCAAAATGTGTGTTTTAGGGTGCTTTATAAGAATGTAAAAAAAAAGCCCGGACAAACTTAGTTTTGAAGTTATTGATCAAAAACTTAATTTTTTTGTTGCGCGCATTTAAAAAAAAAAAAAATACTTAGAATTGAATATTTTTAGATTTTTTTTTTCGAAGTGTGTGGTTTTTAACGCTTCATAGATTGGTAAAATCAAAAATTACCTAACATACTTACTTTTGAAGTTTTTGCACGTAAACATTGAAAAATACAGTTTTCAAAATTCATAATAAATCCTTTCTAAAATCAGTTTTTTTAATATTTTTTTTTTTTTAACATATACAGTTTTAGATGGTAAAGTTTTTAGCGAAGTCAGAATTGTGCTATCTGGCTTAGTTTTAGATTCACAGGTATTAAAAGATGTATGTACATACGCCACCCAACGCTCTAGAAGCTTCCTACACCTGTCCGGTCGCCATTAGTTTAAGTTAATAAGGAAGAGCAACGAATCTGTGAGGCATTTACAACTATATAGCCATAGGACCCCAAGTTGTAGAGGTCTAGTTGTTCCTATGAGCATGTCAGCTATAAAAGATATTATAAAGATCATGAAATAGCGATTGTCATGAAATGAGAGATCACTGCAATGATGTCAATATTATTATTATTTATTATTTATGTGTAAGAGAATTTCAAACCACGGTCGTATATCTATGTACCTATTTCGTACTGGAAATCGATCTTACCGAATCTTCAGCTTTAATCCAGTAATGCCTTTTGAGTTTTTTTTTCATAACGTTCCAAAATGTAATCGGAGCAATTTGTTTATTCATCGTTGGCCCACTTTTTCTTCGTCGTAGTAAATACATGTAGTTGAACTGTTCTGATATAACGTTTAATACTTTAATATTTTAATAAATTAAAGATGATATTCAAAGTTGGAAATGGATTTTGTCACATACATTACCTCCGTAGATATTAATATGTTAAACGCATTAGGATTTTCATAAGATATTTTAAATTGTATGCATTAAGTAAAATCGTTTAACATTTTTATTTTTTACCCATGTCGAACAGTGGTGCCAATCACCCCGTAAATATACGTTTACTCTCAGATTTCGGCAGTGGCGGACTGGGAGAAAAAAACAGCCCTGGAAAATCATAATTTTCGAGGCCCTCAGTATACCGACGGCCCTTTATATTATATATAATATGTATATAATATACTCCGGCCCACGAGAGATCAGTACCGTCACGCGCATGCAGAATGACCGGCAGCGACGGTGCCGAGCCCAATTTTCCCCACTATGTGCCGGAATGCCGCAATCGTCGCAACTGCCGACCGACACCGAACCGCTGTGATTGGTTGAGTGGGAGCGATTGAGTGGGAGATGCGCGAAATCGGACGAGTTTTGGTCGAATAGCGGTACTGATCTCTCGTGGGCCGGAGTTTTTTTTTTTTTATAGTTTTTTTTTGTAAACACAATATTTACCTTTAAGATTTTTAAATATTTTAATTAATTGATGTAAAACAAAATAAAGTAACTATTGTACATTTGTAAGTATATCTCAAATAATTGTTGTATATATAATTTAAACTAAAATCAATTTGATTTTAAGGGGAGCGTGATTCATTTTCGTTCGAAAACTATATATATCGTTCTGATATTAATTTTGAAATCAGATTTGAATTGAAATAAATCTAGTTTAGCGCCCACTCGAATTTTTCAATGTTTTTTTCCGGAAACCTATGTTTTTTAACGAGTTTAGAACTATGGTGCAAAAAAAAGTTGGCGGAAATCAATAGTTTTCGAGTTATAGAATTTGAAATTCAAGTTTTTTCTACAATTCATTTAAATAGGTAGTTTTTACCAACGTTGTGCGAATGAAGTGTGGCGCAGTGGTCTGCACTGCACGTCAATTACCGTAGATCGGAAGTTCGAGATTGATGAACCTGTTCATTTCAGGGCTTTTCCATTGTCCCTGTTACCTTATTAAGGTGGTTTTGCATAACAATTCGGAGGATATTTTCGATTTGTGGAGCGGAGCGACGGCGCCGAGGAGCGGAGCGACGGCGCCGAGGAGCGTAGCGACGAGTGCCGATACACCCCAAATATCTAGATAAATAAGTAGTCTGAACCGGGGTTAGGATATTTCTAAAATATAAATATAAATTATACATAATGAACGTATTAAAAGTATATTGAATTAACTTTTTTTTGCACCATCGTTTTTAAAACGTTGATTTACCTTGGTTTTGAAAAAAAAAAAATTATTGTAAAATTATTGTAAACGCGGAAAATAGAGCGTTGCGCGCATGAGTATAAACGTAAAATTGCAAACTTTGGAAGGCTATAACTTCCAAAATAATGGTTTCCGCCAACTTTTTTTTTGCACCATCGTTCTAAACTCGTTAAAACACATAGGTTTCCGAAAAAAAATTGAAAAATTCGAGTGGGCGCTAAACTAGATTTGTTCCTTTGAATTTTTTGCTAAATTATCTATGCTTTGACAATTTTTATTTCTGATTTTTATTTTTTTTACTTAGAAATTTACTAACAAATGGAGTATAACAAGATCATATTCATAATCCAAATTAAAATTCATTGATATAGAATATGAAAAATTTGTGGCAGTTAAAGCATAGAAAAATAGAAAATTTAGAGGAGAATTCAAATCTGCTTTCAAAATTTAAATCGGAACACCCTACTGAGCGTAGTGATTGACGTCACTGGCAGGATTATTTTAAAAAAATGTTTGTAATTTTATAAAGTAATTTATATTTGTTGACTTGTGCATGGGCGTAGGTAAAATTATAGAAGTACCTACATATCCGGTCACTAAATAATGATACCCCTATACAACGTTATCGGTACTATGAATTACACCACTAATGTTCATTTACTTTCAACACATTCACAAGACCAGGCCATATAAATTGAAATATAAAATTCCTAGTTTTTACTCCATAGAGTGGTTGACGCTCCAGTCCCCTTAATAATATTACATACTTTTAAGTTATTATTCATTAGATAATATTTTAACTTAAAATTTCAAAATAACAATATCAATAAATATATATTTAATACTAGCAGTGGCCCACCGGGTAATTTCACGGTATCATGGTCATCCAGTCCGCCACAGGATTTTAGTGAGGCAATATGTATATATTTTAATTTTGGACACCCTTACTGGTTATACTTCGATAAGACATTCCTAAGTACTATGATGCGCTCATCTACATTAGTTGTATTAAATTAAATAAGTGATTTTTTTAGCAATACATAAACAAAAATAATAAATGTAATTTTCTAGATTATAGTAAAAAATATGTTTAAGACATTAAAACTTTGTTTATCGTGGATTAAAATCGTGGATCATTATTAAAATTAGTCTACAATATTGGTAATTAATAAGTGTTGACCATATGCGCAAATAGGGTGGGGCTTGGGAGGGCTAAGCCCCCAAACATTTCCTAAATTTTGTTTTAAGCTTATTTAGTATTATAAAAGTAAGACTTTAGCCTCTCCCCAAATCCCAAATGCTATTTGAGCCTATGGTGTTAACTGTTTAAGTTAACAGTTAAAACTTGAAATTATCAACAGTAAGAATAGAAATTTTACTTTTCATGTTTGTATTTTTATTTTGACACTTATATCAGTTATATGTAATATTATCATTATCATTTGTTAAGATAATTTATTAATGGTACCAGAGAAATATAAATATATACCAATGCATATTTTAATACCTAAAAACAGAAATAAAGAAAGAATGAATAGACATTTTCAACACATAAAATCGTGTATTGCGTAAGAATTATCATAATTTGATATTTGGCGCATACAATACAATATAATATAGTACATAAAAAAGTTTAAACCAACTTTGGGTTTTCATAAAAATTAACAGTTCTTAATTAGTAACTTAACGAAACAATATTTTAACAAAATCAATATGTGATAACTAATAAAGAGAACAATAAACAAAAAATACAAATTAAATAGGACAATAAAGATGAGTCTACATAAGCGAAACAATATCATAAGGAACAGTAATTAACCACATTGAATATTACAATAAAGGATAACAATAAAAGTTTAGATTTCTCTATTTACAAATTGTGTTTCACAGTAGAGAAATACACAGTTAATAATAATATGCACACACATGGGGAATTTTTTAAACATTTTAATATTTTAGATTAAGTTTTATTTTTTAAAAAAAGTGACTATGCATTTATTATTATAGAAGTCATTTTAGTATGTCGTAAAACAAGTTTTTTTTACACGGAAAAACCATTGAAATAGAAATATTACATTTAACAGAATATTTATTGCTTAAGCCTATAAAACGTTAATTATAATAACTGATTGTATTATAATAGTTTTATTATATTATATAGTTAAATAAGTACAAATGTCTACTTAGATTTGGTCAATTAATTCCAAATGCAAAATTATGATTTAAAACCGTACATAAACTAATTTACAATTTAGTTAATATTTATACAAGGATTTATGTTTATATATAATATATGTCCATAGGGTTTAACAATGTAATATTAACTATTAATGATGCTCGGCAAGTGGAGACATTTAGTCCATTTGCTAATTACTGATTGTAGTAAGTGTTGGCATCGTTCTATATGACTGTTGGCGGCAACACATTGTAGTCATGTATGGATGATTTAACTGTTTCATAGACAGGACGGTTGTCGTCTGCAGTGGACGAGGTCAAATTGTTATAGGCTACGTATTCGGAATGTGGGTTATTGCACAATGTCTGTAACTTGGTCAGGTAACTGTCAAAGTGTTCTTGGGTCTTTTCGGAACCAGATTGACCTTCAGGACATCTCACTTGTTCCAAAAATGACATCATATTGTTCCTTAGGTTTTCATAGTACCCATTCAAATGGGAATTTTGTCGTTGAGATAAGATTTGTGTTTCCTGTAAACATGCAAAAATATCAGGTTGTTACAATTACTTAATATTTAACTTGGTAAAATTGTGGAATATTGATGTAGTTATATATTTTATCATTAGAGCATCTTTTTTGGAGTGTTTTTGTTTGTTTGGAATGTTTGACACTACCTTGGGCCTACCTTATCCCCGTGTCGAAGATGAGCCTCCATAGCATTGATGTCTGTCTTCAATCTCAACATTTGGGATTCGACGCGTGCGTTTTCTCGCTGCAATTCCGTTATTTCAGCATCCAAAGTAAATAGATCTTCACCACCGTTCCCCATATTACAATCTAAAAACCACAACTTTTTTACCTTTTCTCCTCCTCTACATTTGACTTTTCAAAAATTGTAAAAATCCCACAATTTTACCAGACAAAAATAATCTTAATACTATTCTCACCATTATGAAGTTGTTTCGAGCCGTACATGTGATGATACAACGAATCAGCAGCATTTGTCGGGATTGGTTTCTTTCCAGATGCTAAATTTGGTGCAGATGGATGGCAAACGCTGAGAGTTGGTGCACCACGGTGAAGGAATGGACTTGGGTTTAAATGAGACGGTTCACAGCCAGTTTGGTCGGATTGCTGGTGATGGTGTTGTTGTTGTTGCAGTTTTGCAATATTGGCTTTATGCTGTTCAACAGTTCCCCCACTTTCGAGTACACGCATTTTATTACGATTGGCAATTGGACAACCGGATGCACTAATATTAAATATTATTAGATAAATATGAAAAATGTAATAAACAGTAAAATGTAAGCTTGAAAAAATTAATTTACCTTCTGTGTGATAAAAATTTGCCAGTAGCATGTCCAGATCCATCACATCCAGGTATAGGGCACCTATAATATAATTTAATATTAAATACAGTAAGTTAAATTATTAAATAGTGCAATCAACCTTAGTGGCTCAGAATCTTGACCGTCTCGAGGTTTACTCTTCGGCTTATTGGCTCGAGGACATCCAGATAAGGATCTATGAGAAGAATAATTTCCTGTTACATGACCAGACCCATCGCAGCCCGGTGTTGGACATTTTAGTTCTTGTGAATGTGTTGAAGAGATTCCAGGTTGCGATGAAGAACGATCACTTCTTGCGCAAACAGAAATACTAAAAAAAAAACAATACTACTTAGGTAAATCTAGTTAAAAAATAAAATGCTTATTCAAATAATTAAATCATAAACATATATATATTTTTTTTTGTCCTACCAAATTTGTGGAAATAATTAATACACTGGTGTACGACATACGTATCTGGTATAAAAAGTATTTTATTTAGATTTTAAATGATTTTTTTTTCAAATACATATTATGTAATAATTATTATAATATAGGTACCTATATTAAAATATTATCATTCAATTAAAACCTCTGTGAAACCTTGAATAGGTGGAGATTTTTATTTATCATACCTGTACATAACTAAAATAGTAACAAGTCACAAATAAAAAATTAAGTACCTAGTTGATTAGAATATTTAATCGGAACTGAAATCGGAATTAAAAAAAATTTCTTCTTCTTCCTCTTCAATTTCTTCATTGACAATATCTTTCTTCTCTGTACAGGTTGGTTTAAATTTGAGTGAAAAACATGCTTGTAAATATGATTTTCTTTTGGACACTTCGTTAATGCCCAAACAAGATGCGATGAAATTATCAATCATTTCCGACGTACGGTGTGGGTGGTTCAACAGCAGTATGAAAGACGATCGGACAGCCAACAAAATGTAATCGTTCGCAATGTTGGGCGAACTGAGGGCTACCGACAGCAATTCTTTGTAGCTATCCCAGTCACCAGCTAACAGACAGAGTCGCATTTGGTTAAATACCGGTCTCAAACTGTTCCCCTTTAGTGTCCTGTTTGAAGGGCGACTACTAAAATTTTGCAAATGCCGTTTGTTGGTGCACAGACTGTCTACGCGCATCGATCTCCTATCCTGATAAGTGGCTTTGATCTTTGCCTTTCTGCCAACCGGTTCATTGCGTTGGCCCAATATCAATTCGATCGCTTGCAGAACGCCACTGTTCGGTAAAACAATTGGGGACAAGTCAATACTTTCGCTAGACGAGGTTTCCCAATATTCATTATCTGACTCTTCCATTTTCAAAATGTAACAGATGAACGGTCGTTGGATTCAATGATCGAAATGCGGTCAAAAGCTATGCAATGGAGTGATCGAACGAAATACGAATAGGTTTACTTGAGAAGCGATAGTAATATTTAACTAATGTAAAAACATGACAGTTCAAGTCTACGTCTCGACACGATCTCCACTACCGGGCAGCGGGCACTATTCAGTAGTAAGTATTCACTATTTGCTAAATAATAAATATTAACTACAACAAAGTTTAAAGTAGTAGCCAGTAGGTAGCTATTTAGTAATTCACTACACAGCATTACGGAATTGACTATTTGAATATCCACATGTTGATGTAATAAGTTTTTGTTTTTACTGTTTGTTTTTCGTTGATAACGATGAATGGTGATAACGTCGTTATCACATCATTCAAACAGTATGACCACGTATGATTGACTTCATTCGAGAAAGTATTTGACATGGACATATAAATACATTTATTTATATTATGTCTATGGTATTTGGTAAAACGAATCTTAAGTACTAACAAATCCTTCCACTGCGGCCAGTTTTGTTCTTGATAATTTTACCAATTATTGGTATTTCGAGTAATTCAACGATCTAATTATTGTAGTCAGCATACCAACGATAGATGATCATAGAATAGATAGATAGTCTTTTGTAGTATGCTGACCAATAGATCCCGACAAATAATGCGAGGGGATTAGTATTTTCACTATTTTGTCACAAGAACGCTTAGGTATACTTAATTTTTTTAAGTAGTTATTTTTACTTTAAAAGTGAAAACAATACTTTTTACATTATTGCGAGTAAAAACAATTACTAAGTAATATTAATTATTATTAAAAAACATTAAAAAATAATAGTGCCATCATAATAAAAACGTCTACTTTTCAAAGTCGTAACGAGTAATAAATGACAATTTTTGAACCCAAGTGGCAAGCATAGTTGCTTATAGTCTTATGGTTTATAAATATATAACTATAATAAACTGAGCTCAGAACTTAACTCACTAAAAACATTAAAAAATGCACTTAAATTGTTGAAATACGCTGTTAAATATGATCTGTGGACAAAATTAGGCACTTAAAAAGTTGAAATATTTATGGTATATTTTTCCCTTCTTAAACTGTATATGTATTTGTATCATAGTGGGAAAAATCGGGAAAAAAATTGATGTTATCTAACACGAATATGAATATAATGTAACGTCTAACATCGTCCAAATGCATTGACTCGGTAAAGATTAAGGAGAAATGATTTATAAATAAATACCATGAAAGTATAGAACAGTTTAAAATTGCATTATCTATAGATCTGTATACAGAGCTATAAATACGGTGTAAATATCATTTGGTAATATTGTCCGAGTCCGTCTTATGTAAAATCGCAGTGGATAAAAAACACTTTATCCTTATTATTTAAATTTGAAATTATATTTTTATACTAAATTAACAATACAATAATATTAAAAAAATTACGAGTTTTCTTATAAACATCTTAATTCATAATATTATAGGTGTATAAAATATGTTACATAGAAAAATAAAAACCATCAAAAGTTTCAAATTTGAGTTTAAAATAAATAAAATGTAAAAAGAATATATTTTTGGTATTGGATTGGAAATTTGAAATATTTGAAATTTCAAAAGTAAAGGTTGGGCAAACATTTATATCGAATCAGATATATTTTACTTATTTCTAGAGCTGACACTGTATATGCGTATAATTAATGTATAATGTATGCACAAAATTCCGAGCATTGAATTAATAACGGAAAAAGAAATGATCTGTGTTTTTTTCAACTCGATGGACACAAGTAATTTTACTTTATTTAGATATTTTTTTTTTAAATATAGTCGCACAGAAATGGGATTTAATACTTATGAAACTCACTTACTACTTACGATATTATAGGGTAAAATACAATAAGGCTCATTCGGAATAAGCATAATCGGAGAAGGTATCTTCTAAAAAAGTTACTGTACTCTGCAGTATTCCTACAGAATAATTAACAAATATTATTGTTTAATAATAAGCATTACTATTTTAAAGTTGATGGGACTAATTCCGGCTATATGTTTTCTCCCAAATTCCAAAATATACCTTAACCTATCTATTTTGAATTTAAACCTTTGTACCTACTCTTATAGAATACGAGTAGAAATAATAAAAATTGACAATATTAAAAGTATTAAAATGTAAATATTATTGAACTAAAATTAGTTTTGAAACGCAAGGAAGCCGTTTTTAAATAAACTTCATAACGTATTCAAATTTTTTTTCAGGCATGAAAAAAAAAACACTCACATTCGTGTAACGGGTTACATTTGCGAGTGAACATCACAGCGCTCCTCTATATTTTTAGCCACCGATTTCAATTACAAGTGCATGTGAGTATAACACTAATTATAGTAGTAAGTACTTGAATAATGTTAATAAATGCGGTCGCGCAGTCACGTACCTGTCGTCTTTGGACGAGACAGAGAGTTTGTCTTGTTGCGGCGGTGGCATACTGTAACACGGATTCTGCGAGAACCCGTTGGGCGGCGCGCCTTGCTGGTAGGCGCTCGCCGAGTAGCCGCACGAGTATGCCGACGTGCTGTACGGCGTCGAGTACCCGTTTGCGTACTCTGGCATCGGATACCCGGGATGTGGGCTCAACGAGGTGTAACCTATGAGACAGACGCGGCAAGAAAAATTTCTAATAAATATATTTAATATACTATGAGTAGTGAATACGCCATAACGCAATAACTCGGTCTATAGTGTATATAGGTAGAAAATATTGTTTTCGTTTGATACAATAAAAAATTTTCACTCCACTTTAGTCAAGAACTTTGTGAAATAAATAAAAACATAGTAAACCGAGAGAGAGTAAGTCAATTTATTTTTTTTAAAAAACCTTCAAATATAAAGTTAAATCTAAAATTCTGAACGTAAGTCCTATAAACGCCTGCAGCACCGAAGCGACGAACTGGCTGGTCTACTTTTTTCTCATGAATTGTCCCCAAAGCTTTAAGAAGCCGAGTATCAATTGTAAAATATTTAAATATGTTATCCGTTCGGTACCTTGAAGTGATAATTTTTCTCAGTAGAATCCCTAAAGTAAGCGTAAAGAAAAACTACCAACGGGAAGGGGGGGGGAAATCGTAAAAATATGTTGAAATCTACTGTTAGTTGTTACTATAGTTTTTAACGGAATACTGTTTGGCAATACTTATTGAAATTCAATTATATATTTCAAAAATATATTAAAAAACATTTATTTTCTTTATATTTTAATAATTTATTTGTGTGAGATAGTGAATGTAAATTTAGTATATCATTTAGAAAAAAATAATTAATGATTTTGATTGAGAGCGGCTTTGACAGTTTTACATTAAATTTAGTGGGCCCTATAACAAAAAAGGTTGAGTATCACTGCTATGACGATCGATTTGTGACTTAAAAGATATTTGGGTCAGTATACAATATTACTGTCGATAGAGTGGAATGAACGAGTTAAATTTATAATCTAACATGGTTACCTATTTACCTACCTGTATTAAATAATTATTGTTTTATACACGGTGATAGGGAGAGAGGACGTTTGCGCATAGCTATAACTGTTACGAATGTCTTTTTTTTATAGGCCGTTCGCTCAGAATTATAATTATAACATTTAAAAAAAAAAATGTAATTTCAAAAGTTATTGGTAATTATTTCATTAAATAATTTAAAAAAATTATAAACCGTTAACTATGTAAAATAATATTAAAATAATATACTATTATTATCTGCAATAATCTTGGATTAACAAATTAATTGTTCATTGGTAGTTCACAAAAAAAATACAAAATCAATCAAATTTCAAATATAAATTCAAATATTATTATTTTTAAATACAAATCTTTTTGAACCTGGAACAGAGACAGATTTGTGTTATGTTATCGGTGTATCGTGCGTTTGTGTTACCGTGCTACAATTAATACTGATTAGAACTGTGATACTGTTAGACATTATACAATATGCGATGATGCACTAACGACTAATCAAATTTTTTTACCTGGTGGATTTAATCATGTACTCGAATGACAAATTCCACCAATATTTATACAGACAACGACAATATATCGATAATAATATAATACTATTATAGTGCTTACCGTTGACGTCCCTATAGTGGTCCATGTAATGGGAACCTCCGCTCTCAGGTGTCGACTCCCTGCTGTATCCGTTAGGCGCTCCGCCAGGAAACACAAGTCTGCCAGGTGCCCTGTAACGGGGACAAATGATTGTAAACGGTCTCGGTAAACGGCCTCTAAGGCTAATCACAAACGACATCGTCGTACCTGTTGACACTGAGGTCCAAAGTTTGACCTTGTGGGCTTGGGGCCTGGTTGACCTGCGGACTGGACGTCGACGTGTTCGGGCTGGTACGGTGTCCGGTGGTTCCCGCGTAATGGTGTGGACTTAGGCTGTTTGAATACGTGACAGTCTGCGTGTATGCGAAAAATAACAATTAGAATAAAGCGCGTAAAGTATATAATGTTCGATTACCACTGTCGTGCCCTTTCTTAAATTTAACTCTTATTGTAATGTAAAACTTTTTCATCATTTTAGTAAGTTTAAAAAACTTAATTAATTTTACAACCGGGACCAAAAATATCTAGTCCGCCCCTGAGTGAATCTATTTATAATTGTATATAATATAATATGCTAATATTATTTTCCCAATACCACCAGGGGCCAGCTCGTCGATAATTTTTATGGTACCATTTGTACATATTATAATACCTAGTTAACAACTAGACTACTGACTAAGTGATGTTTGTAAGATTAAAAGCATTAAATTTGTTTTTGATTGCACTAAGAAATATAGAAATATAGCCTAAGAAATAACTACTGTTTATATTTTTGCACGATAGCAACTGTACACTTGGACTTTAGATTAGCATTTGAGATATATTTTTCAGTCAGTAGAAAACATAATACTGTGGATGTCTTGGATTGACATCGTCCTACATTTGTTTTAGGAAAATAAGGGTATAAATTCGTAATTACTCCAGACTTCAACCCTTCACATAAAAACGCGTATTTAATAAGTCACATCGTGGGACACGATGATGGTTAGTCGAAAGACTACCGTGGTATGAATGCATTACCGTACCTGTGGACTGGTTGAAGTCACGCTGGACGTGGACAGGTCCATGACCGACACTGTGCCTGGTGACCGGGTTAGCGGTAAGGGCAACGGTAGCGGAAGTGGCTTCATCCCGGTACTCGCAGCAGCGATGCACTTCACCGACAGATTGATCGCTGCTGCTGTGGGAAAACCCGATTGGATGACCGGGCCGCCGCCGGTGGACGTAGGTGGATTAGCTCCTTCGTACTGGTATAGTGGCCTGCGATGAAAAATGAAACAAAAACACCGTAAATAAAAATCATTATCCAGGTAACGTAAGTACTACTTTATTAATTTAGGGCTCAGATTTTGTAGCAATATAAATCGTTAAAGAGTATTCGTTTAATTTTTAAACTTGAAGAATACAAAAAAAACGTCATCCCTTTTCAAAAGTCAAAACGTTCACTTTGATAAATTCGAATAACATATAATTAACTATATTTCTATGGTAGTTTTATCAGCCATCCATAAATTAAAATTTTGCCACCACAACAATCGAAATAATTTCGACAATATCACACGAACATTTCTACTATTTCTGGCCATCTATAATGTATAGTCGAAAACCTGCATAATATTATATAGGTAATACGATTAAAGGAATAAATGACATTTTTGTGAAAATCATAAATAATTATCATGCGTACAAGCACATTTGGAGGAAAAATAGCTCTATTAATTTCCAATTAACTGTCCGAATTTCTCAAAGTTCAGGTAGTTCGAGGGTTTAATAAGGCCATAAACCCATAATCCCGTTAAAATATTCTACACAAGTACACATACATGCCACATGGTTTTAAATATTTATCGAGTGGATGTGTGGTCGGAAAAAACCCTTACCTTGGATAGAGTGGCGGTTCGATGGTGTCGTCCATCTGCACGGGCTGTTCAGGTTTCATGATCATCTGGTGTGGTTGGTACATGGCGGCGGCGGCGGAGTCCCCGTACTCGGACGGGTATCGTTGGCACGACTGATCGGATTCGTAGCGGTCGGCGTACGCTGCAGCGGCTGCGGCCACAGCCGCGTTCAGCGGATTCGGATACGACGGTGGCCGTACGTGGTCGTACGACGACCGGGCCGGGACTTCGGTGGAATACGACGGCGACGGCCTGTTGATGTTGGTTAGCGCGTAGTTGCGGTCGGCGGCCGCGGCCACCGACCTGTTGTACATGTCTTGCTGTTGGCCGCCACTGCCGCCGTTTATCTGTTGTGGTTCGTACGGTCTATGCTGTAGTCTGGTGTTGTTGTCCATCATCATGTACGATCCGGACGAACCGTGTTGTTGTTGTTGTTGTTGACCCGACATGCCACCGTTGCCGTGTTGTTGGATTTGTTGTTGTTGTTGTTGCTGCTGTTGTTGCTGCTGTTGCTGTTGCTGTTGTTGTTGCTGCTGCTGTTGTTGCTGCTGCTGCTGTTGTTGTTGTTGTTGCTGTTGCTGCTGCTGCTGTTGCTGTTGTTGTTGTTGTTGTTGCTGTTGATGGTGGTTCATGGCGTCCATGCTACCAGACATGGACGATGAGTTGGAATCGTGACAATGGTCGTACGACGACATGGTCATCGGGGTGCGTCTGCTGCACGGGGGTGTCACTGAGCGACATGAACCAGCCGAGTGCATTTCCGACTTGATGGTCATGGCATCGTCTTGCGTTCCCGGCGCGGTCCCATCACCGCAGCATCCCATTTCGGACTTGAGGCGTAGCTGTTTTGCGTCCGGCTTTTCGTCGTCCATTTCCGGCCCGCCGGTGTCCATGTCCATGTCCTTGTGTTGCAACATCTTGGATGGTTTAACCGTCAGCTTGGCGCCCACCGCCGATGGGCCGTAGTACGCCGCTGCCGCCGTCATATATTCCGGTGACCGGCCAGTCGGACCACCGCCGCAGTGGTCGCCGTAGTGACCACCCATCTGCTGGTACGCGTCCTTATTGATGTTGCCCATGTGCTTGTACTGCTGTTGATCGAGTCCTCCGTTGTTGCACACTGCAAATCGATGGGGAAAAAAAACCGAAATGACGCGTTGTTCTCGGCAATAATCCTGGCCGAGTTTTGCTGAGAGTAGATCGCTGTCTAAGAATTTTGTCGGGTATCAGGTGGGTTGTTGGGTGGGTGTTGGTGTGCGGAGAGCACCCATTGATTAATATGTGGACTGTGCGTCTCCCATAATACCCGGATATATATGAGTTGCCAATTGTCAAGTGACAAATCAAAAACTTTTTTCAGTACTTAAGGATTTTTGTTAAGAATTATTGAATTATTATAGAGATATGGTAGGTAGGTTAATATTTATAATATTTTAGTAAACATTTTTTTGTTTTGTCCCTTGGGTAGATAATATTAGACCAACATATGTAAAGTTTGAATTTATTCATTGTGGCAAAAACATTGTTCCATTTACATCCAAATAGTTTGTTTTGACATAATTTAAAAAAATAGTACGTTAATATTTATATGATTAGAAAAAATCTTTAAAAAAAATTAATTCTAATATATTACAAAGTTATGATTTTTAATAAATCAAAATGATAGTAAAATATAACATTAACTTTAATTAGTCTGTTGTTTGTAATATGTGATAATGTACACGTCTGTAGTTTTGCTTCAATTTATTCTTAATATAATAATGAAATTAGAAACTTGTGAATTGATTTTAATAGAGAAATATGGGGGGAATCGAATTCTATCATAAAAATGCTGTCTAAATTATTATTTCGGATTTCCTAGGTTAAAACAAATTTATAATTGTCAATTATTTGCACCATAAACCTACTATTTATTTTTTTACCTATTTATTTAAAAGCATTTGTATTCCTATGCAATCTATTTCTAAAAGATATGTTGTTAAATTTTTCCCTTTCCCTCTCTCCATGATAGATAGAACGCTATTTGCGTTTTGGCCCCAAGGACCCTTCTCTCTCTGCTATCAGTCCATTTTTTTTTATAGGTCTTTGGGAGTACCTGTAAGCGCGGCGATGTGTTGTTGTGACAATTTTTTCTGCCGTTCTCGCAACGCCTGTTTGTTGGCCGCCGCTATTGGACAGCCCGACAGGCTCCTATGCGTGTTTCGGTTCGAGCTCACGTGTCCCCGGCCATTACATCCGGGAGTGGGACACTTTAGGATCGTTTCGTGCAAGGCCAGAACTGGTCAAGACAATATATACACACATATATATTATATATTTATTTATTACATCGGAATCGATTTCGCAACATGCAACATTGAAAACACACGAACAAACAGCAAAAAGTTTTTTTTTTTAATCTTAAATGGTCATAGTAGGTAGGTATAGTAAGTATACTATTAAAAAAAAAATTAAATCGGCGGACAAGGATCAAGAATAGGGGTAGAGAGAGAGAGAGTAGTGTGATATCGCCGGGGTGGATATCATCATGCAATTTATTTTTGCATATTATATAGAAAAATAAACATTAAACTATTGTCGTATTTACAATAATCATCAATAGCCGATAACATATAGGTAACAAAAGAAAAAGAAACAATTCTCTATAATATTTATTACAAATTCGATGCTGTTTGTGTTTTTATCGGTGTACCAGCTACTTGCGGCAAAATCTATGTAATAACTATATAATATATATATGTGTATAATATGTTGCCCGTGACGGATAATATATGCGTTGACGTTGGACAACGAGAGGGCAGTTGTAGTGGTGCAATATTTATCAGCTCTCTACCCCCAGCAAAAATCCGGTGTGTCAACGGATTGGTTTTATTCGTTGCATATATACAATGCGCTTTCAAATAATAATAATTATATTGTCGACAGGAAACAAATAAAAAAAAAAAAAAAAAAAATGATATCTTAGGTTATATTATGTGTTACGTTTTGCGATACTTACTTTCTGGCGTCACTTTGTCCTTGCGGGGACATCCGGACATGCTGCATGTACGAGCAGAAAAATACACACAATGACCTACTGTATATTGATATTAACCCGAAATCGTAGATTAGAAACGGTAAATTACCTTCTGTGGTGCGAGTACAGTCCAGTGATGTGCCCTTGACCGGTGCATCCCGGCGTTGGACATTTGTTCCCGTCTGAAACGCAATACATTAAAGTTACTACTTTGCAGCGATTCGTTCCGAATGCATTTCCTTTAAGCTCATAATATTTATTATTTTGTTAGGGGAGCTCTCATCTTTTGTTCCTCGTCTGAAACAAAAGAATAAGAGATGGGATATTTGTTTTTTTTCGGCGTTGGCGATCACAAAAGGCGCCGACTGTGCTGAATGGGCAGATAAGAAACATTGATTCCGGGAGCTGCCCCCGGCAAGGGTGTTTGGTTTGTTTTTATTTTATTTTTGTTTTACGAGATATTATTATTTATAATTCCCTTGTTTTTAATTAAAAATGCATCGTTTTAACGCTCTGTCGCCGTCTAAAAAAAAATTATAATTAAAAAATATACACATCGATGGCCATATTCCAAGTGGTGTGATAAAAGGAGAAAACTTCATGGATAGATAAGCAATAATATTGAGAATGAAAATAAGAATTAGTAAATAATATATTATTGTATTATTATATTGATCCGATGTAGAAGTGGATTACGGTAAATTTAAATGCAATTCACAACGGACAGATATAACAGTAAGTTTACGACTAATATTTATTTCCCGTAAAACCGTTCTGTATCATCCTTGCAGTGATACACATTCAAATATCCAACTAAATTGTTGAGAAGTGACCAAACAAAAGTAAGCATTTATTTTTGTAAAATGTTTTCTAGTTTAAAAAGTTACGTTATTGATTGATCTTATAACAGGTTTACAGATTTGAGTATAGCAATAGTCCAATAATTAGAGTTAACCTACTATAATTATTGCAAGCAAAAATAATTATACTTCAGATTAATATAAACAGTTATAAAAGCATCCGATATTAAATATCAGTGTTAAATCAATATATCAAATTATTTACTTAAGTACATTTATTGACATTAAATACGATAATAACTAATTAGATATCTGAGTTTGACTAGTTTGAGTGTTTGGTAATAATTTTTAAGTCTCTATGAGAATAAACATTTATATGCTAAAAAGATGTACTTATAAAATATAAATATTATAAAAACACTTTAAACATTATTACAGATTTACATTGTTCATTTAAGTTCATTATTCATATAACGTGATAAATAACTTGTATTACAGTTTTGTATTATGTTTTCTTTCGTCATTGAAAATTGAATGGTGTGTTCAATCAATATATTATTTAGTACTTTTGAGTGAAACGATAAAATAAATTTGTTATCAAACCAATTATTTATTACTTATATGGGTAATATTAAAAGAAGTTAGTATTGCCTTTTAGTAATATCTTATATTTTATAATATTATATAGTTTTTATCTTATTTATTTTTAAATAAAAAAGTTATTTAAGTGAGTTTAAGCTTAAATACTTATTGGAATTTTATATAGGTAAATTAAATATATACGCATATATAGAGACATGTCTGTATCTTGAATCGATTCTTTTTCGGAGTGTTGGGGGAGGGAATCAATAACAAAAATTATATTAATGAAAAGTTTTATAACATTCATTTAATCGTTTCTATGTTATTATACAATAGTATAGTAATATAGATTATTACATTCAACAATCTTTTTAACTAATTAACTTTATTCTACGATTATTATGAACACACATCAAACGGGAACGTACTAAAATCGTATATTATAATATTATCAAGTACATTGGAAGACGATAGTTGTAAATGGTAGTTGTATATGGTAGTTGTATATGGTAGTTGTACATGGTAGTTGTATATGGTAATTGTTAACTATTATATTTAATCAATTAGAACACAAACTACTTGAGTGACTAAGATTAAAAATATACCAAACTTCATTAATATGCATGCGTAGAAGTTTAACATGGATATATTGTTTCAGTGGCTATTATCAACGCGTAATACAATAACCAAGAACGGTTTAAAAATCAAAATGTCGTGACGGTGGCTGGGCGGAATTGTCGTCGCACGCGCATGTATAACTTATCTCAAAGTTTGTCGGGCGAGACAATAACATATATATATATATATATATATATATTATTCCGAACGAGTGGCGTATAATATACGTACACGCAATAAATCCTAAGAGGAAGCGAACGGAGAGAAAGAGAATTGTGTGCCAGTAAGAGAGAGAAAGAGTATATTATGTAAGAGAAAGAATGACGACGACGACAGAGGAAGTCGATGAAACGGAAACTGGCGAGCGTCGCGTGCGTACAGTATTAGACTGCATCTCTATAACATGTACGGTTGTGGGTCTGTTGTGGGTACAGCGGTGTGGGTGTGTATGGGTGTGGGGGTATTTGTAATAAAATAGTGCTCAGACGGTGATGTTGATGGGTATACGGGGGTGGGAGGAGTGTTAACAACTCGTACCCGTTCGCCGCGTTTGGGGTTAAGTCGGCACGTGATCGGCGTGGAGATGTTCTCTTAAACCCACCCCCCGTCCATCCCACCACGCGGTGACCCCGAACCACCGCGACCATTATACGCGCTGCTCTACGGTACGCCGACGACATTATTGTCAACAACGTCGTCCGACTGCGCGCTATCCTCCTTGAATGTTAATTAGTGTTAAATTGCGACAGGATTCGAGCGGGGGCGTACGCGAAGGATCGAAACGATAATAACGCGTGCCACGTTGTCGTCGTCTCCGCCACTAATGACGACGAGCCTATAAACCGTAGAAGTAAGTATTATCGTTTATCGCTGCTTACCTTTGTTGTTCATGCATCCAGGTAGCATCAGTCCACCGTCTACGGGATCCAGGAGGAGTTTGGCAGTGCCGCCGCCGACAGACGTCATCCTCGGTGACAGACCACCACCTCCGGCCGCGCTCACCACGGAAGCACCTAGCACGCCTTCCCTGGCCACGTCCTGGAGTGCCGTGGCCGCTCTGGAATCGGCGCCGGCTGGCTGCAGTATGGTGTACTGCTTGGACAGTGGGCTGGGCGAGTCCATCTTGATTACGGCCCCGTCCGCCTTGCAGTCGCCCGAGCCACCACTGCATCCGTCATCCTCCAGTTTCACGCAAACCGGCTTGACCGGTGTCACCGGGCCGACGCCCCCGCCAACCACTGCGTTTCCGCCGGCCAACAGGTGTTTGACCGTCGAACCGTGACCACCCCCGCCAACCACGGAAACGCCGACGCCGTTCGAGACGAGTCCACCGCCTGGTCCGGTATAACCGACCACGAAAGTGGCACCGGCTGGCGGGTACGGTCCCAGAGGAGACATGGCCGCGCCGACCGCTGTGGGCAGGTCCAGGCGGGTTGGGTCTTTGGGCTCGCCGACGCCACCGCTTGCCACGGGCCGGAACGCCGAGAACGCTGTCTTGTCCATCAGGTAAGCGTCGTACGACGACGACTCGGACTCGGACTTCATGGAAGTCATCATCTCGTCGGGCCGCACGTGGCTGTTGTTGTTCCGGCGGTCCACGTCCATTTTGCGCCGAAGCCGGTCGCCGCCGCCGTTGTGACTTCTGCTACGGCCACGGCCGCAGCCACCGCTCTCATCATCATCGTCATCGTCGTTGTCGTCTTCGTCGTCGCCACCGCCGTCGCCGTCTCCCTTGTCATCGCCGCCACTGCAGCCGCTTCCGCCGCCACCGCCGTCAGCCGACATGTCAATCTCAAGCTCATCCGACGAGTCGTCAACCAGCTCGTTAAAGTCCGGCTCGTACTTGGACGGCGCGTATTTGTCTGGTTTCTTGTTGTGTTCGCACTCTTTGTTGTTCTGGTCAATTTTGTTGAGCATAATATGGTCGAGGTCGCGGCGTTGTTGTTGCGGCGGTTGTTGTTGCTGCTGTGCCATTTTCGCGTCACCCGTGTTGTTTTTGTTCTCGTCCACTCTGATAGCCATCGGTGGCGGTGGTGGCGGTGGGTGTGCGCCGCTGGCGCTTCCAATCTTCTTCTCGTCGAACAGGTTGACGAACGCCGGCGACTCGTACCGGTCATCGTCGTGTCCTGTCCGGTAGAACGAGTGGCGTGCGCCCGGCCACCCGCCGGACAGGCTCTTCAGAGCTGCTTCCGTCTCGCGTATCAGCGTCTCGTCGTCCACCGCCTCGTCGCCACTGGCCTTTGCCTGTTTTTTCGGCGTGGCCGCAGCTGTCTGTTGTCCAGCTGCTGTGGCCGCCCCGGTTGTCGGCTGACCGGCCAACGGCCGTTTCTTCGGTAGCACCATTGTCTTTTGCGCGGCCGCCCCGCCGCTTCCTCCGTTGTTGTTGTCTTGCTGTTGTTGCTGTTGTTCGGACGTGCCTTTATTGTTGTCCTTGTCTGCGGCCACCTCTTGCATCTGTTTCAGTGCCCGTCTCCTTTTCTTGTGCGCAAACGTCTCGTCTACTGTAGACTGGGCCTTGTTACAGGCCACCGTCCCGTCACCCGATGACTTGCGTTTCGATGTCGACCTGTGTGCACAACGAATACAATGAATTAATAACAATTTAATTCTTATAGTTTCTATTGCAAAATAATTCTAAAACTTTATTTTAAAGTCCGCGAGTTATAACTGAGGCTTGTGGGGTCGGTAGATTTTTCGGTATATGTACCGGTTCTAATACCAGTACTCGATTTCAGTACCGTTAACTCTATCGCAGTCGTACAGTTTTTTCTGGCATGTAAAAAGTCGTATATATATCTGTATTTTCAAAAAAAATGTATTTCTGGAAGTGGCACCTATAAAAATGTATTAACATTGAGTATAGGCCACAGAGCAAAACTCTAAAAGTCACGTAGTGCTACGACAATTGATAATAATTGAGAAATATTTTCTTTTTCATACAAAATAATATATACCTACGTCACGTGCTTGAATAAAAACACAATATATTATATAAAGATACAAAAAAAAATCGTCTAGATTTCGATGAATATCCCATAATGCGTATGGGTTCATCCAAAAAAAAACACACGCATAACTATATTTGTTTTCCCTAACCGGTAAAATGTAGTTTCTAAAGAAAGCCAACGATTATATTCATGTAAGATCACAAACGCGGGCACGGAATAATGCTTACGTTTGTATTCACTACGCTACATTCGTTAAATATACAATCAAATTAATATTTGCGCTTTTTCCAATAACGAAACGACTTCGTGTGTATTTTTTTAATTACTATTATCATTATTATTTATTACCCATCTCCAATTTTAATTGACTGCTGTTCACGATCTCGATCGGTTACTTTTTTTTTTCAATAATTATGTTACGAGGGAAGAAAAAAAATACCAATAAAGCGCACTTTTCCACCCCTTCTTCTCGTCCGCCGTCAATCGGTTGTTTAATTTGCCAAAGATCCGTTTTTCTCGGCTCGTTAAGTATTTTTTTAATTAAAAATCGCTTGCCGACTTTTAAATTAATAAGAAAGAGGAAAAATGTGTGTATATAGCTACTTAATAATATCGCGGTGATACATTCGAAAGGCCTAACGGTGGCTATTGCGGGGTGGTACGTGCAGGAGGGTGTAGCAATAAGAAATAGTGTCTTATATAGTAAGATACGATATTATTATCAGACAATGGGCAAAAAAAAGGGTTGTTTGTGATATATTATGTGCAGAAATCAAATAACAGGCGCCCAACTGGCCGGCAATATTACTTATTATAATATGTAGGTACCTATTATGGAATATGGAATATGGATATGTATAAATAATACAAACTACTTCAATAGTTAAACGTATTTAAATGTAATATTATAAACACTTACAACAATAAGGCAAATTTTGATATAGAACAAACCTAACTATTAAACACTAAGCAGTATATAGTTTATACATAATATATCACAAGACTCGTGAGTCATGACGAAAAAACGATAAAAATAAACTAGTAGACAAATCGTCTGAAAAAATATAAAATAACCATACAATTACACAAACTATTCGATTAACGATTATAGTCGTTATAAAGACCGAAATGAAAATTGTATTTTGAATAATGTATAGTAAGGCGAACGATAGTTGAATCCCAAAACATAATAATATTGATAGGTTACACCGTACTTTTCGATAAGGTATTAAAATAATACACATAGATCAATATACGTACACCGAAAAACTGATGCATGGAGGTGTAATATGATAGTTATTTTATTGAAAACTCGTCACCTATTAATTTAACATGCTGTTATTTATTTCTTTGGTCTACACAATTATTTTGGAATTTAACCATTTACGAGTCATTTTTTTAAATTTAAAGACACCATCAGTCAATGTTTTTACTTATTCGTTGTAATATGCTCGTGAATAATATTATTACGCCGAGGTCGGATCGAGCAGGGTTCCGGCAGCGAATAATAATAATAATAATTATTATTCGTACACGATAACGATGAACCATCACAACCGTGTTTCATATGATAATATTATAATATTATATTATATAGTATTATTATATACATAGCGGTCCCCGAGTCGTTTCGATAATGCTGACAAATCGGTCCTGCTGCAGCAGGTCTCGCGTGTATGTTTCCACCACCATATTATTATTATGATTATTGTGGGCCAGCGACGTATATAATAATAATACCGTATTATACACGAAAAACGAGTATCGCGCTCTCAGAGAGGGGAAACGAAAGCAGCGGGCTCATAGTCAGTCGTGCTTTTGCTGCGGATCGAGCAGGTCCCTCGTCGGTCGGCCCTCGCTCCGCGTGTGATATAACCACGTGCGATGTTTTTCCTGGACCGTATAATAATAATATAATATATACCGACATGGTTTAACGTCGAACGGAAAAAAAATTAATTTTTATGGCCGTCGCGTCATGAGCGGACCCCATCGCGGGCAAAAAAGTTTTTCAAATCTCTAGACATTCCAACCCTCCTCCCTACCTCATGATAAATTATTAATTTCAGTTAAATGAAAAAAAAATTAAATAACAACAATCGATTTCTTCTGAACTCCGCGACGCACTAGATTGTTAAAAGAAAATTGTAAAAATATTGCATGTATTAGGTAGCTTATGTTGTATTATACACGTATATTATTGATATTTTAATATACAGGTATACATAATGTGAATGTTAGCGATATCAAAAAAGTTTGTTGAGATTGATTATATAATATTATACAAGAATAATATAATGACATTTTTTTTTATTACTCGTTGCTAATATCGAATATAGAAAATATAAGCAATAATATTTATGAAACGATAAAGTACATATAAAAAAACCATTACACTGACTTATTTCATGGGTTTTCCACAATATTATTTTTAAAAAAAAAAGTTCAAAAGTTTAAAATATTTCAATTATAAACATCTTAAACAATATTTCTGACATTTTTTCTAGTACACAGTGATTTTATCAATACTTAATTTCGAAAAGTATATATTAACATTTTTTTAAATTTTCTTAATAAGTATTTTTAAATACTATAAAAATCTATAATTATTTTGTATTCTTATATTTTTCAGATTTTTAATTATAATAATTGTTTAAATAACAAAACATGTATTTCTGATTTCATATTATGATGTAGAATATTTTTCTGAGAATTTTGATGTATAAAAATAAAATGTCAAACGAGTTGTCAATTACTTATAAGTATTTAAAGTTTTGATAAGCGGAATGGAGTGGCGCAGGTGATTAAAGTCTTTTTATAAAATAATAATGGTTTATTTAATACTTTTTCAAACTATATTTTACATAATATTATATTATAATTATATTTTTCAGTTTTCCAGTTTATGCATCTGATACTTTGTTTCGTGTGCGGAAATAGCTAAATAAGCTAGGACTTTGGGGGTAGTGCTTTCATTTACAGCTGCAGAATGTATATACGACAGTATTATTACCAACGCTGGTGGTTTATATTTCAAAGGAGCGATTAGGAAAACGATCAATTACAATATTAAACATTATTATTACGTTTTCTAGGCGGCGTAATTACTACCTACCGAGGTGCACTCGAAACGGGAGAGCTTCCGAAATGTCGGCGTCGCACTCGCGTTTCGCCGATGGGTCTTTTTCCGTCGTCGTCTACAATTCACTTCAGCCGGTAATTTTCGTTTCGTAATGTCTTTTTTTTTTTTCGTTATTCAGACGGCAAGCGGAACGGTTTGATATTTTTTTTATTGTTATCGCCGCACAGTCCTAATACACGTAGGTATATATCATTGCATCACGGAGCAATAATATAATAGCAATATTTAAACGCACACACAACGTTCATACACGTGTATATACGTACCTATAAATATTGTACACAGACATCTCACCGACGACGCAGTGTCACGCTAGTAAACACGCCGCCGCCGGTACGACGACACGACGATTACCTATAGATATGTATATAGGTGTGGTGCCGCCGAGTGCATGTCAACACTACATTAACAGACGACGGCGGCGGCGGCAATGATCATTCGAAACGGTCCTCCCACCCGCCCGGAACGGCATTTCGTATCCTATTATTAACCTATTACCGTCATGACGTTTTAATTCCAAAGTCACGACAACGACTTATATCGCTCATACCTCAGCGGTGAAAAAACAATAAAAAAATAAAAATAAAAACACTGGTAAACGCGACGACGTAGATACAACCTACCCCCAACCCCTAAAAGTCTAAGCGATGCACATCGAAATATATATTATTATACATATAATTATTATTACGTCCGACGGCGAACGAAACTCGCAAAAATATCGCCGAGCATGAATGAGTCATTACGAATAGCGTCGGGTCCTATTATTATAATATACACTGTCGGGCGTCGGCGAGACGGGTTTGGTGGGTGGTCCCAAAATATTGTCAGCGCTTGAGCACGGCTTGTCCCGCAAACGTCAAGCAGACGCGTAGCTGGGAATTTTTTTGAGGGGTGTTTTAATTTTGTAGTTAAATTTAACTCGTGGGGTGCTATAATACGCACATTGCAGTATTGTAGTCATCACTATTCATATTAATATAATATCGAATACGAAATATAACCTTATGGATAGGTAAGCTATATGATAATGTATTTTTTAAAAATCTGTAGCATAATAATATAACTACTATATTTTTTGAATAAACAGGATACCTATAGGAGCCGCCCCCTAAATACCCCTTACAAGTTACAACACCCAAAACACACGCGTTGAGCCATGCCACTGCTGCTAAAGTATAGATACCTAACCAGACTTCATCATCTCCATATACGCCCATTTTCATCGGGCAGTTTATAATAATAATAGTTAGATTGGAAGAATCAGTACTGTCACACATAAATCTTTAAAATCGAACACAAAATTAATTCCAGCAGATGATACGAACTTAGTTGTATATAAATCTCCCGACGATTGTAATGTATACCTATATAATATTATATTACACTGTTCAAATGAAATACTTGAACACTTTAGACGTGCACGTATACTACATAGGTACTGAAATCAAAGAAAAAATAATCGAAAACCTAACC